GAGATGACGTTGTAGACGCCACCTAAACCTGCCTTGATCCCGAGTGGTTCGGATTTGCCGCTTTTTCTCCGTCAGTGCTATTGACTCATCAGATATCCAATGCCTCGGGCGGGCTACGGCTTCAGATCCACAAGCAACGTTCGCTGCGGAGTGCATTGATCGGCTAATATGATCCCATTGTTCATTTACACTACCACCCCGCAGTGCATTTACCTCGTGCCCTAGTTCTGATTCAAAACGGGCACGAACGGCTGGGTCAGATAAGCGATGATCTACCAATCGAGTTTGATGGGATTTTCTGCGACCAGTAGAGTTGGACAATGAGCTGCATCAAAACTAACGCATGATCAGATTCAACGCAGGTGGCCCATTACGAACTGCAGTTTTGTACTGAACCACACCAACGGTAGCTTACTGCTGTGTGGTCGATCTAAGTTAGCGTGCCAATTGAATTTGAGTGCCACGTTGTTGTCTGCTGAGAGCTGTGTCGGAATTCGGTGCTGGATAGGAACAGATGATGGCCTGCGCAGAACTGAAGAAGTCGATCGCCATTATCTGCTCACTGGCAGGGCAGAGCACAATAACCGCCTAGGCAAGCTTCCCATGCGCTCAGTTTTCCAACTTGAGCGTTAAAACCGCCTGTGAGAACAACTATATCGGAGCTTCGGCTCGACCGAATGAGTTTGGTGAGTTTATTATGAAACTCGTCTTTTGTGCGTCAGAACTGCAGTTGGTCGGTGCATACATTGAGATGATGAACAAACTACTTTTGGTATTGCTTCATTTCCGGGCACCGACTGACCCCTGGAGCCGCTTGACAAAATCTATCCTGTGTAGTTCGTTGAGGCACAGAGACGCACAAGCTATCAAAACCAGGTCAAGGTGCAATCTCGTCCTGATGGTCTACCATCATTAACAGAAAAAACTATCGTCTCTTTGCTGGAAGTGGTGATCACAAGATTCAAGTAAGACAGCGTTCTACAGAAAACCTCACGAGGTTAAGAGACATGTTCAGGCACTCAGACCTTACTTTGTTTCCGACCCCAACCCTTCTGTTTTCTGCGATTACCCAACCATAGTTACATACATTTCTGCCACGATATTTGTTGTGCCTTAGATGCAATTTATATCCGCCCCAACCCCACACCTAAAACAACCCCGTTGTAGACAGGAGCGTGCCTTCAAAATGCAGAAGCACCACGATGTGCGGTCTCTTTCCAAATCCCTCAGGGTTGAACTTCGCAGGCTCAACTCTGCACGCTCGTGCCCGACTTGACAATAACGTTAGTTGTCATGGCATATTCTGGCATCAAATCTTCACACCGCGCACCTGTTGCTGCGGTCACAGAGGGTCTGAATCAGAGCTTCATCAGCATTGGCATCACTCTCACTGCTCTACTTAATGGATAGGAAATAAACATGACCGATATTGTCGCCAGTGTCGCACCTGCCGATATTTATCAATAGTGGCCCTGATGGAGTCTTACCCGTTGTCCACAAGGTATGTGCTGCCTTCCTTTCCCCTATACTGTGAGAACTTTTCGATAAGTGCATATCACAGCAACATATTCTCAAGTGCTGGAGAATAGCCTTAATCACCACAGTACCGAAGAAAGTCTCCTCAAAATTCCGGCCCATTGCCTGCACTTCAGTTGTTTTGAAGTTGTTTGAGAGTTCAATATTGGTGACCCAAACCAGTCCTACTCACTGCCTTCTCGCGGCGGAGGTGTTTTCCCACCAAAGTGAGAGGACGAAAAGCCGATATCCGGGGCTATAGCCGGGTTGGTGGACCATTGGCAGTTCACCTAGGGGAGTTGACCAAAAACCCTGATTCCAAACCAACCATGAGGAGACGTACGAACCACACCCACACCTTTTCGGTTGTGGCAGTGGTCACCGGCTCGATTGGGCATTGAGGTGTATTGGGCACCTTGGACGTCTGACCCCGTCCGAAGGGCGTATGATCCGATGAACTGGACACCGACTCCCAATGGATTACGGTTTTCGCACACCGCCCCGCTGCCTTGTGGGTCAGGCTTTGGCTAGCCGAAGTCGCCGGTTGTGGATTCCTCAAGAAAATTCACCTGCCTTGGTCTGGGCAACCTGTCAGTATTCCGCCCACATGCAAATCATAGAACATTTTTCTTTCTTTCATAAAGATTATTGTACCATGATTTGTTTGGCACAGTCTGGATTCAAGTGTGTGAAATATGTTCATATATATCAAACTAATCAATGGCTAGAAACACTTAATGCCACAAATATTCACTTTCCACACAGATCTAATTTACTTGTTTTATTTATCTTTAGTTTAATAGTGCTTGCAACCTTAAACTCTTCGATCGACTCATTCATCATTGATTAATCAAATGCGTAACCGAAGGGGGAGCAGGCTGGATAGTCGAAAAAAAGTGAGAGATTATTGAGGGTTTTGAAAAGCGAGTGCTGTGTATCTTCATTTGAGACAAATTACCGGTGAAGATGAGTGACACAGAAACGATGAAAACAAACTGAATGAAGCGCTAAGCATTCAACCAATCATAAGATTTCATCAGTCGAAATACATATCCCTTTCAAAACTACCTCTGAGCGAGGAGGAGGCAAACTCACTTGATTATATGCTCCTCCATCTCGGCTGAAGATGGACCACCCAATGATTTCTTCTTCCCGCCCGGTCCAGACACGCCAGGAGCGACTCGTTCGCGTGGGCTGTGCATGAACAATGGGAAAATAGTGCGCAAACCTAGGACCTCGACAAATTTCGAACAGTTGGCCACCACGACAGCTTCCGGATCAGCATTTGTGGACGATTTCGGGGCCAAGTCAAGGTCAGACTCTGTGGTCGGATTGGTAGACATTGTGGCGTTCGGTGCGACCAGGCACAACGCATAGTCCAGCACACGCAGAGCACTGTCACGAGACATGTGCTTCTCACTACACGGGGACAGACAGGGTTCCGGGGAAAGTGAATCAAAATCAGCAAATGAAGTGAAGACGATGCATGAAGAAATGCAAAGAGCGATGAGAGGGTAGAGTAGGTGTCTCTCGTTTTCCAGGTTGGGGTTCAAAAAGAGTTCGTAACCGAATGGTCGTAGATACTGAAGGTCGTAGCAGCAAACCAACAGCAGTGGCGATCATGCTATCACTTCTTACGAGACCATAATGATTGAATTAATATGTATGCATGGCTGGACTGTTCACTGGACTACGCTGTGTGATGATTACGATGAGTTGATTTTTGATATAGCAAACAAATGTGATGAGCGAGAGAAAAAAACGAAATAAGGTGTTGGTCGAACAACGTGCTAGTTCAAAAAGTAGAAGAAAAATTGTGGAGACACGTAAATTTCTTTCTCAAGTTCCCATGATCAAAATACTATACGTGTCAGTTGTTAAATTGTGATCAACAATGCGATGGCAAATTGGTCAAAGTGGGAATTTGCAACAAACGAATTCGTAGTTTTTAATATTCACAAACGCACTGCGAGTGTGACAGAAATATCGCAGTAATGAATGCACTAGTGAAACCAATCCTTTCATCTCGGTTGAATACAGCTCACCGAATTCGAACATGTGAAAATCTGGTCTACTACCAGCAAAATGAACTCCGTGGTCTTGGATTTTCACGGCAACCAGTGCTGGTGACATGGTTAAATATGGATGTGCTACAACCTCGCCTTAGCTATGAATAGAATCAATCTCTGAAGCCAATTCATTTTCAAATGGCGAAGTTGCCTGGGTGACAAAATCTGACAGAGTGGGTGGGTAGTGATAAGTAGACTACTGCTCAGACATGCTACATCCAACTCTTCGNTGACATTCGTCAAAGCTAGTTCCCAAATACCACTACAGGCATACCTTACGCGTAAAGTGGACTCTCTAAGGATTGAAGTCTGCAGTGCATCGGGGACGTGAATCCTAGTATTATAAGTGCCCAAGTCTGTTCTCCAAGTAGTTTCTTCGCACATCAGAAGACGATGAAGCCGGCTCACAGATTCAGCG